TGAGGATTTTGAGTCAGAGTTCGTGGGATTGAATATGGCGGTGGTGATCTTGAAGAGCACAAGCCAGCGCCCTACGGCGCAAATGTTGAAGCGCAGCCGCATTCTTTAGGTTCTACTCATCAACAGCCTTCCGTAAACAGGGCTTTAGACTGGATCCTGAGGGGCTATTCATCCTCTGGTTCCCGGCATGATGGCGTTGACCTACTCGGGTGGGAAGCGAAAAAAAGGGGAGACCCGACTCCGATGCAGGACAAATACGAAATCGCGAAGTGGAAACACCCTGCCAATTCCGACCGCAGGACGAATACGAAAAGAACACACAGCGTGTCTTCCTTACTAGTGTCATACAGTGTGCCGCTCGAGCCCCAGGACCAAGAATGCTACTATGATGCTTTCGTTGCATTTCTTACACTCAAGGGAAGATAGTGAAGCGGAAACTAGGCCTGAAGCTGAGTGCCTCTTGATATTTCGAGATTGCCCGGGTATTCTCTACTAGGATACTAAACGTAGAGGGAGATACCCCAAACTAGGGTAACAAGGAAAGTTGATGTCAACGTTGCGGGGGAGTGCAGTGTCATCCCCATAGTGTGACGTCGCGAACCACAGAAGACGGGGGGGCAATACGATTCAAGCACGACTTTGGAACAGGTGGCTCTGAGCTTTTGTCCGAAGCCCTTCATTATTTTTGTTGCAGAGATATTTTTGAACGAGTGGCTCTGGGGCGTCGCCCCATGTCCGAAAATGCATCAAAAGTGCTGCAACAAAAATCGGGTGGCCAGGAAACTTTGCCCCGACGTCTCTCGGACAGTAAGATCTTGTTTGAGTGGTGTTGCCCTCCCGTATAAAACTCTATAGAATTTAATGATAAAAGGCCTATCGAAACCGGCCCTATTCTTATGCTTTCCGCTCTTTCTTCCAGTCTTCTACCGAACAAGCGCTTATCGGCAACTGAAAATCAAGCGTGTGGTCGCGGTTTCGAAACCTGCAGAGAATCAGGCTGATGCGAACCAGTTGGCGCAATGGACAGCGTACCAGACTTCGATCTTCGATCTTTCGATGGTAGCCATCTGGGGGTTGCGGGTTCGAGTCCCGTACTGGTTAATTTTTTTTGTGAGTTAAAATTTTTTTTACAATTAACTACGTAGACCTCGGGGAATGGACGCGCTTCGGCTCATCAGACTCTGGCACATCTTGCAGTGACCGTGCATGGCTGCGATGTGGAGCGAGGTCAAGCTGTTTTTCCCGCGATTGTCGACCCGTGGTCTCCAGTGGCCTCCAGGCACCATGCCAGAAGGGCCGTGTGAAAGTCCTCACCGCCATATATTTCCCCCTCCTCCCTCGGTACTAAGCATATCGGGTAGAGAGATAGAGAGTTTTGTATCTCCCTAGTGGCTCGCTGGTACAGAGCCACCCAATTTCCTTCCCCTCCTTAATACTTTCTAACCCTGCTATAGCTGCTTCCCGCACTGTAATAGACGGAGAGTCTTCCTGGACCTAGTGAGGCAGATCCTCTGCTCGTTCGTCCAGTAGCCCCAGCCCCCGTATACTACGGCAGCTGAGGTGACGTGAGGATAACAGAGACGCCGGTGTACCGCCACTGCGTAACCTCGATAGTTCACCCTCACACGGCAGGGCAGCCCCACTAGGTTGCCTCCCCGTGTCGGAGGTTAAATAGCCATTTTCCACAGAACCTCCTAATTCTCGATTCAGGTTCTACCGGATGGTTCAAGAAAACCACCAGTGGACTTATTCCCTCCACGATTGAAAAGATCGATATCCCTATCACTATGGGGTCTATTGTCGCAAAGGGCACCATGACTGGACTTGGCCCTGCATGCTGCATGAGGGAAGCTGCGCTTCATTGATCGTCAGACTGCAGCACAGCTCGATCGGCTCAGTGATGCCCCGCCACTTGCAACTCGGTGCCGCGCATGCGCGCATACGCGCGCGCCCGCCCGCCGCAGAGCCGGTTGCGCCTTCGAGTACGTCCTATGGGAGGATCGTACGCGACCTTCCGGCGTTCGTAAAGCCGACTTCGCGCGCGCACGCGTGGGTCCAAAAAGTGCGGAAATCGGCCGGCCCAGCCGTGCTCCGGCGCATCGAGTCGTGAATCAACTCTTTTGCGGCTGGAAGCTCGCCATGATGGTGCGAGTCGATGGTGCGACGCATCTTTTGTGGCTCGTTGATTTTTGGGCGACTCGCGAATGTCCGCCGGGCGCCGAAGCGCTTCGACCGAAAACGCGAGCCGCGGTGCGCCTGTGGGCGCTGGCGGCGGGCTGGCTGCCGTCGAAGGCGTAGACCATATGTGACGAGCGGGCGAAGGCGTCGGAGTCGCCCCGGGTTGCGAAATCGGCGTGCGAGAGGTTGTTCTGGTCAAAAGTGGCCTCAAATAGCCCGAAAACGAATGATTTCGGCGCCAAACGCAGCGTTTCGCGTCGACCGATCACCGTCGCTGTGTTCCGCCGGGCGGTTCGACATCATAGAGCTCCTGCACGGCGATCTACACCGTCTCCGACGCCCACA